GACATAGGACATCCAGGTAAGGTTGGGTCCTCCCCCTCCTGGACCCCCCCCCCCCCCTCTCCTGTGATGGGACAGCAGAGGAGCCAAGGTCCACCCGAGGCCCCTGAACCTGGGCCAGGCACTGCTGCATGTTCCTGCCTTCTTCCTGGCAGCATACATGTCAGGACCCGACCCCTAAGGCCCCGCCCAGATCCTCACATGGGGCCGGCCACCCCCAAACCCCGAGCCCCCAGACCCGCCCAGGGTCAATGCAGCTGCCAGGCAGTGACCCATGGCCGCCGCCAAGACATCCAAGGGGCCCCACTCACAACCGCCAGTAGTCCACCCCCCGAGGCAACCCAAGCACCTCCAGAGGGGGGCAACGGCCCCCCAGTCCCAGACACCCCCAGTGAACCCACATCTTCAGAATCCTCCACAGACAGCTGAGATAAACAAATCAAGTTCTACTGTTTCCAGGAGTCCATGATGTGTCCAACTGGGTCTGTCGCGGAGGGGCATCCGGGAGCCCCTTCTCCCGTTCTCATCGTTGAAAAAATTTTATCAGTCGCGTTGAGAGACAAACTGACGAGATCCATTTTAGTGATTTCAGTTTCCAGAAAAAATGCAGAAGCAGCCGTGCACCCAAAGACAGAGACAGACAAAGGGCTTTGAGGATAAGATATGGAGGAGAGGAGGATAAAAGCTTCTACACCCTCCAAGAGCCGGAACACTCAGAGGGTGCAGACTGCCATGGTCTGTTGGGGTGCAGGCAGCTCTGATCCTGACAGAAAGAAACTGTAATACCTGATCTACATAATAAATTGGTATTCTGCATAGTTCTGGGACCCGAGTTTCATTTTTTATTTGTGGTTGTAATGATTAAATTTACATATTATTTAATGAACCATAAAATGTGAGATTCCTTAGGAAATATGAAATCAATCTTTTGGATCTTTGGACAGTTTAAACCAAAAGACTGGAGCTTTTTATTGCAGGGATTATGTAACACTTCGCATTAACTCAGAGACAAAAGAAAGAGTCAAGTTTTAAAAGTTGAAAGATTTATTACAAAACAAATTAAAACTAGACTAACTTTAAACACTAAATGTATGATGTAACTAAGGTGAACTAAGACTGAGGATGGTGTATGCGTGAAATGTTGTTCAGAACCAGCAAATCCGGAGAAAAGATTAGTTCTGATGGGAGTGAAGGTGATGTTTTGCGCTAAGCTTTGGTTTGGAGATTATAACACACATTGAGACGCCATCTGTCGGTCTACGTACCCTTGGCGGAAGTCCCCGTTAGATCAGGAATGTCGAGGTCCAGCTTGACCTCCTCTGGCACCGAAGCCAGTAGAAAAGCAGCGGTTGCCGACCAGACCAGTCTTGAGATACTTCCAGGTCACGGCAGTTTTATTGGCATCTAGCAAGACCCAAAAAGGGGTCGTGATGGTTCAGCTTTTATTCTGAAAGGAACTGTAGCAGCAGGTGGAACATGCAACAGATTTTATCCAGCTTTTCGTTAGGTTCTTTTGGCTGAAGAGGAAAGTTACAGATTGTCCACTCCGACAACCTCTAGAAAGCTTTGAACTGAAGTTTAAGATGATGTGGGCATAGTTTTATAATTTGGATGTTTTGATTTACGGTCGAATCAAGAAGGGACAGATTTACCAAGCACCAACAAAACATGCCTTGCGTCAGACCTGGAAGGTTCTGAATGGATCAGAAAAAGGAAATGTGTCATGTGATTCTTAACATTACGTGTGATCAGTCTCTAGTGGAAACATTTAAAGTTATATTACTTATTATAATCTACTAATCATAAACATTGTCATTTCACAGATTGGTTCACATTTTATAATTGGACTAACACTTTATTTGATTAGCTTTATTAAAAATAGAGTTCTTATTAAAAGAAAGAGTCCTTTGTCTTCATTCTTCTCTTGAGCTGGAAAGGAAGACACAGTTTAGTAGCAGAGCAGAAGACCTTGAGCAATATCTCATGAAGATTAGGTTTGTGTCAAAAACTTCTGGTTTTGCTTTGAGCAGAGCAAAACAGAGCAGGGCCTTTTAGGTCAGAAATGGACAATTCATCATGATACATGGTTTTTAGTGGTCGAAAGTTACAATAATAACTTACTGCCTATGTGTACCGGTATGTACATGTACCTTTGTTGTTATCTTCTTCAAATTATTGTCTTAAGTGTTTGTGTTGCTGTAACAAGTGAATTTCCCCACTGTGGGATCAATAAAGTATATTCTATTCTATTCTATTCTGTAAAACTAAAACAGATTAACTTCATGCACATGCAACAATGAAACAGAGTGAACAGTATTTACATAGCTTGCGACTACCAATAAGGGCGTTCACGTTTGGCAGGTTAAGTGCAGTCTCATCTCTGTGATGTTGAATCCATGGCAAGGATAAGTGAAACTGGGTTTGACAAAACTTGATCAGGTAAAATTTGATTATAATTTCTAAAACACTAGATTAGGCAGACAGTCTGTTGTTTTCGCCCCAGTGATACAGGTGAATGTCGCCCTCTTGTGGCTGTTTAGTGGCACTAGACACGAACAGCAACAGGCAGGTAAATGTATATCTATCTATCATCTATCTATCTATCTATCTATTTATCTATCTATCTATCTATCTATCTATCTATCTATCTATCTATCTATCTATCTATCTATCTATCTATCTATCTATCTATCTATCTATCATCTATCTATCTATCTATCTATCTATCTATCTATCTATCTATCTATCTATCTATCTATCTATCTATCTATCTATCTATCTATCTATCATCTATCTATCTATCTATCTATCTATCTATCTATCTATCTATCTATCTATCTATCTATCTATCATCTATCTATCTATCTATCTATCTATCTATCTATCTATCTATCTATCATCTATCTATCTATCTATCTATCTATCTATCTATCTATCTATCTATCATCTATCTATCTATCTATCTATCTATCTATCTATCTATCTATCTATCTATCTATCTATCTATCTATCTATCATCTATCTATCTATCTATCTATCTATCTATCTATCTATCTATCTATCATCTATCTATCTATCATCTATCTATCTATCTATCTATCTATCTATCTATCTATCTATCTATCTATCATCTATCTATCTATCTATCTATCTATCTATCTATCTATCTATCTATCTATCTATCTATCTATCTATCTATCATCTATCTATCTATCTATCTATCTATCTATCTATCTATCTATCTATCTATCTATCTATCTGTCTGTCTGTCTGCCTGCCTGTCTGTGTGTGTGTGTGTGTGTGTGTGTGTGTGTGTGTGTGTGTGTGTGTGTGTGTGTGTGTGTGTGTGTGTGTGTGTGTGTGTGTGTGTGTGTGTGTGTGTGTGTGTGTGTGTGTGTGTGTCGCAGATCTTCATGCCTGTCTCTGGGATTTAAAAGATGACTGAGCTCTCTCGAACCTACAGACTCAGAGGCACCTAGAGCTGTCCGAAGTGCTGAATCTGAAGTTCCCATCTCTTTTTAACTCTCCTCCCTGACTGCTCCTACTCTTCCACTTGCTAACATCACTCAGAATTTAACCATATAAGCTCTATCAAATTAAAGCCTAGTAGGCAAGGGCTCTGTCTTACAGACTGAAGCTGGGAGCTGGTTCCATGGGAGAGAAGCCTGATGACTAAATTAAAGAAGAGACCGTAAACAAGAGGACAAACACATAGACAACGCTTTAAAGACCTGCAGGTACCCGACATGGACGATAAACAAAGGAAAACAACAAACAACAACAGAAAGAAAAGAACAACCAAAGCAAAGAACTAGAAACCCAGAAAGACAAGAACCAAAACCAGTGATAACCCTACCATACATCAAAGGCATAACAGAAAAAATAAGAGCAACAATGAAAAAACACAACATAAACACACCAACAAAACCATACACAACAATTAGAAACAGACTAGTGCACCCAAAACACAAGATACCAGCTAGACTTAAATGTGGAGTTGTTTACGAAATCCCATGCAAACTCTGCAATAAAACATACATAGGAGAAACCGGACGCCAACTCAACACACGAACAATAAAACATAGAAAGGGGTGTGAGAAAGAGGCAAGTCGAAAACACACAAGAGCAGCAAAAGAAGAAGCAGAAAGTACAATAAAGAAGTCAGCCGTAACAGATCACTGCAGAAGAGAAAACCATATAATGGACTGGGACAACACAAGGATCATAAACAGCGAACAACAGAAATACAAAAGATGGATAAAGGAAGCTATAGAGATAAGGAGACGTGGATGTGGGACCATGAACAGAGACGATGGAGTTTACACGTTGGATTGCGCATGGGACTGCATCGTTGGTGAGGGGAGAGCGGGCAGCAGAGGGCAACAACGTCCTCTGCTGCCCGCGTATAAACGGAGTAGGAAGTGACGCCACCATCAGCGTCAGCTCTGAGGATGTTTGCAGCCACAAACGAAACCATCAGCAAGGTAAAGAAAAACCTTATCTGTGTTTAAAAAAGAACCAAAAATGGAGCTTGGATTACAAGCGCCACCGCACCCATTGAGGACCTGAGAACCAGATACGAGATTTAACTGTTTATTATTATTATTATTATTAGTAGTAGTAGCATAATAATAATAATAATAATAATAATAATAATAATAATAATAATAATAATAATAATAATAATAATGATAAACTGAAAATAGAACAAATTTGAAAGAAAAAGTTAGAACAGTTAGAAAACAGTTTTATACTGAACTCTGTAGCTATCCAGCAGCCACTGAAAATGGAGTAACATGATGTGGTGTGTTTGTAGGTCGTCGGATTGTAGGTGTTTGTAGCTACAAGTCCTGCAAAGCCAGGAGGCGGAGGAGGTTTTGCTCAAAGAAGTTAAAAATCAGTTGCAATAGTCTAAGCATGAACAAAAGAAGGCGTGGTCAACACAAATGTGGGTAAATTTTTACTCAAAAGAGCATTTGTTTATTTATTCATTTTATTTTCAGGTTGCACTTCGTCCTCCGGACCGATAGGGGGAGACGCTTACCGTCTCCGCTGTCAAACCTAAAATCAAACATGGCGGCGTCGTTTGTGAGGTTTGTCCGCGGAGGACTCGGAAGGAGCTTTAACAGTAAGCTGAGTTAAAACCTGCTTTTGTCTTACTGTACTGAATTTTCTGTGAGACACTTAAGACCGTGCTGATTGATGTGCTCCCAGAAATGGCTGTATGTGGGCTTCAGTCGTGTAAATTCCGGCTGACCTTCGAGCTAGTTAATGCTAGCTAGTGAGGCAGAATGGACACGCATGTGTTTGTTTTGCTGTTTTAAATCCGATATTTAGACAAATGCAGGTGAAACGCAAAAGCCTAAACAGCTCCTCTCCAGCTCTGAAGTTTAACCCTCACACGACTCATCTTCTCCTTCCCTTTAGTTGCTCGGAGTTCGTGTCTTCTCCAACAACAGACCAGAGCCCAGAGCTCCAGCACCGAGTCCTCCCGTGAGTTCACACCATGAATATATTCAGGCAAACACGCACGAGGCATGATGAGCAGCTTCAGTTTACCTTGATGCTGCCATCAAACAAGAGTTAATGTCTTTAGTCAGACATTACAACACCTCTGACTCGTGTATTAAAGTGAATCTCCATCTGGATGAACTAACCCTTCCTCTCTGTCCCTTGTGCAGCTACAATCAGGCCCAAGGATCCCGTCACTCACAACCAGCTGGCAACATTTGGACAGTATGTGGCTGAAATAATGCCTAAATATGTTCAGGAGGTTCAGGTCAGTCCAAAACAATTAGAATGACACTGATCCACCCTCTTAATCGCTACTGCTGGTATTAGGACTAGGACTGGACAATAGAGAACAAAGCACATTGATAAAAAAAATCATATTAACCTGTATATTTAAAGTGCGGCCCCGGCCATTTATGCCATTCCATAATTAACAATTTCCAAAAAGAACAGACAAGAACTGACTTAAATTCCATACTTTATTTAAACATATTCATTTTACTAGGACTGAATGATTTCAGGAAAAGATTGAACTGAGTTTGTTTTTCTAGCAGAAATTAAGGTTTCAGTTCAATTCCTGATTTTCTTCAAATCAAGGTTCAGCTGCAGCAGCACATTATTCACAGTATAGTGATATTTACAAGGACTGGCTTCAGCTCCCTTAACTAATTTGTCAAAGGACTTGTAAAATCCTAAATGTTCTTTTGGGACAATTTCGTCTTCTTGCTGCGACGGCGAGCGGCAGCGGAAAGTGGGGGCGGAGCGGAGATGGTGGAATTTTGGGGTTAGTCACTTGCTGTCTGTTTAGGTTTGAGAGGCGAGGCCCTGGTGATGGAGCGTGCCTGGATCTGTGTTGCTGATTGGTTGGGAGTCTAGTATTAATCTATCTGATAGACAAAAAGAAAGGAAACGTTTATCGACCCATATTTTTTCCAACACAGCCAGGGTCCGAAATTAACACTCGCCAAATGCGAGTAAATTGCTCCATTTGGCGAGTAAATTGTTGAGCTCTACCTGCCACCTGGCGAGTAAATGTTTGCACCAAATTAGTTATGTTTATCAGTCATCTTCCATGGATGTCTGATACTCCTCCCGCCTGCATGCAACATACACAAACGTACGCGAAACGTGAACGCCGCATCCAACGTCATTTCCACCTATCCCATTCAATCAGTTTATCAAGTTAGCCGTTAGCTTCGTGTAAAACTAGCGGTGAAATGTGGCGGTTTTTAACTGGAGTCAGCCAGCCTTCCAAAAGAAAACTCGTCGAACTGGAAGAAAAACCACCAGGACCAGTGGCAACCAGAAGATTTTGTGAAAAGTGGCGAACCGGAGATGGCGGAGTCGTGAGACAATGGCTACATTATGATGGCCACGTAGCGTTGCTGCCTTTCACAGACAACTGTCCCTCGGCATTCTTCAAATATCCAAAAAATGCCCGTACTTCCGACTTTGTCTTCTTTGAGGGATAATAAATGTCCCGAGTGCTGCCGTCTCCTCCTGCCATTATTTCAGCTTCAGCTTAAACAAAGTTTTGGTCATAAACAACAAAGAGCGCATATGCCGCCGGCAACTTCAGCAGATGTTACAGTGGCTGGTAAGGGTCACCGCACCTACACCGCAGCCACGGTAATCCACCGAGATAATATTTTTTTTAAAACAAGACGGTTATTATTATTGTCTACTTTTTTACCGGGGTTTACTGCTACACCGGTTACCGTGACAACCCTAGCCCTGACACACTTTCAGATATTCTCATGGTGCAGCTGTGTTCTCCAGAGATCAAGGACTATGACCCAAATGAGGCTGTAATGCTTTGGCACAAAGACGGTGTCAGAAGCAGGAGGCCAGACTTCATGGACAGAGAAAACAAAGAGTCTGACTAGATTTCAATGAAAGAGTTCATAAAAACATCTCTAAAAATAAATAAATAAATAGTAAAAATGACAAAAGAGTTGTTTTTCTTATTAACTGATGCTTTAATTATTTTGTCACTCTGTTTGGAATCAACATAATATAGAATAACATGCTTTAGGTAGATCTAAATCATTTAGAATTTTGGCCGGTAAAAAATATGCTTGGCCGGTAGATTTTCATCATCTACCGGCCAACTTGGCCGGTGAGTAAAAAAATTAATTTCGGACCCTGAACACAGCACATGTCTAGCGATAGATAAATATCAATAATGATCTATTGTCCAGCCCTACTTGGGACTGCTGTTGGTGTGCTAGTTGGCTGCAGTTACTGCCGGTCTTAAACCTGTTGTTCAGAATTGTGTGAAGACTTTATCCGTGTGTGTTTGTGTAGGTGACATGTTACAATGAGCTGGAGGTGATGATCCACCCTGATGGTGTGGTCCCTGTGCTGACCTTCCTGAGGGACCACACCAACGCCCAGTTCAGGAGCATGATCGACCTGACGGCTGTGGACATCCCAACACGGCAGAACCGCTTTGAGGTAGCAGACAAATCCTCTGCATGTGAACACACACTTTTCAGTGTACACCACCTCTTTTAATAAATCCTTCACAACATACGAGGGGAGCATTGTGTCGAGGATCAGCTTTAGAGACGTTTTTCCTCAGCTTAATCAGGCTGAATGTTCTTTGGTGATCCCACGTCTGTCTGGTTTTTAGATCGTGTACCACCTGCTGTCGCTGCGCTACAACTCCCGTATCCGCATCAAGACCTACACAGATGAGCTAACACCAGTGGACTCTGCTGTCCCCGTCCACTTGGCTGCCAACTGGTATGAGAGGGAGGTGAGTCACTACAGATTATGCTGACATCCTACAGCAAACCATCACCAGAGCTGTGTTCAGGGAGTGTGTGTTTAAACAGGTGTGGGACATGTTTGGTGTGTTCTTCGCCAACCATCCTGACCTGAGACGCATTCTGACCGACTACGGCTTTGAGGGTCACCCCTTTAGAAAGGACTTCCCTCTTTCAGGTTACGTCGAGGTGAGTTCTGCCATCAGTCACCCCCCCCCCCCCCCCTTTTTTTTTCATCAGTCTTTTAAAATTATTATAATTAAACTAGACCAGATATTTGTGCTCACTTGGCCCTCTTAGGCTTCGTTTCTAGGAACTCGGAAAAGGCTTTTCTCTGTTTGTGAGGGTTATTTTATTTCTGGATGCTCCGGTCCGATCTTGTGGTTTTCAAAGCATCGGAATCGGATGTAACCATATAAACCCACAAACATGACATTCTAAATTCAACCTGAGATAAATTTTCAAACGGAATAATGATGGCTTAGTTTTAATTTCAGCAAGTTCCTCTACATCAGTTTTTTTTTTTTTTTTTTTTTTTTTTTTGGACACAAATAAAAAAGAAAAAACACACCATAACTTGATGTAATCACATTCAGCCGTTAACTAGCAGTAGGGCTGGGCAATATATCGAAAATTTATCATGATCAAAATTTCTAACTCTTAATGAGATAATTTTTCCCATGTCAATACATTTGATAATAAAAAAATGAACAGATGTGTGTAGGTTGGTAACGTTCATGTCCCTTTAAGAAGCTGTACCACCTTGAGTCATGTCAAAATGTGACTCAACTAATACATGTGACATCCCCATCTAGTGGACAACTTTTGTTTCTGCACATACCTGTAGTTATTATTCATTCATCGTTATTGAAGTGAAATCCTCATTATATCGTGATATTGATTTTAGGCCATATCGCCTTGCTAGCAGGCTAACTTGAACCTCTTGCCCAGTGTGCGATTTGATCGGGGGGTTTTGATGTTCCTCCCTTTGGTGATTAAACTTTTATTCTTTTGGGGGCAGGGTATGTTTTATTTATTCATTCATTCATCCATTCATTCATTCATTCTGTAGGATGATCATTTGTGACGTCCAGTGCTTTACTACCAAGACCTACTAAGTTGTAAATCTAAATGATCCCAATGATACTGCCATTTTGCAGTGGAGAGGGCCTCAAATCCCATCTTGAAACAAAACAACCGTAGACCTCCAGATGTTTGAAAGCCTTTCATTTTCATGAGTGAAGTATCTTGGGCTTTCTGTTAAGTAAGAATAGATATCTCCCTGGCAGATTTGTGAAAAAACAAAAAACAGGCGGATCGGACCCACGTTTTCCGTCATCCCAGAGCTCATACAGGCTTTTAATAACTAATTTTGTCTTCAATAAGCTTCTCTCAAAACGTCCTCCTGTCTTTGGATGGTAAAGTGTTTATATATCAGGGATTTTGTACTAAAAGTTCCTAAAAGTGTACGTTGCATATTGATAACAGGCCATGTTGTGTCTGTTTTTGCCACCCAGTCACTCTTGCATGAGCACAAAAATGAAAAAAAGATGTCAACATAACTTTCCTATTTTTATTTTTTTCTGTCAGTTTCAAAATGGGAAACAAATGAATAAAATACCTTGCAATTGGCATACGAAAGCATGTTGTAGTTTTCATAACTAAAAAGTGCTTTTTTTTTTTTTTTTACAAATCTCACTCTGCTCTTGCCTCAGGAGAGTTTAGACGTACTGCCTGCAGCAATTTTCTGGCTCAGAGTCTGACAAAAAGCCTTAAAACTGAGAAAAATGTCCAGCAACACCAACTTTTGTGTGCTGAGTTGTGTTTCTGTGAAGAATAGAATAGAATAGACTTTATTGATCCCACAGTGGGGAAATGCCAAAATAATTATAAAAAACTGAAGATTTGTTTTTTTTCTTTTCCCTTTAATGTATATATAAATCCAAGATGGCAGCCCTACCAGTCTATTATTCATTTTATGTTTTTGTATTTGTCTGATTTGTAATTTTCTCGTATCGGCAGATACTCGGTAAAGTCACTCAGACTCGAGTCGGCAGCTAAAATGGGATTGGAACATCCCTAGTTTGATTTAACCAGTTGGGAGTTTGCTGTTAGTGAGTCAAGCGGGGGTGCAGCAGTGGCAGTTGACGAGGCAAAATCTCGGGCGTGGGAGGAGTTTAGTGAGGCCATGGAGAAAGACTATCGATCGGCTCCAAAGAGGTTCTGGCAAACTGTCCGGCGCCTCAGGAGAGGGAGGCAGCAACTCGCTCACACTGTTTACAGTGGGGATGGGGAGCTGCTGACGTCAACTGGGGCTATAGTCGGACGGTGGAAGGAATACTTTGAGGAGCTCCTCAATCCCACCTACGTGCATTCCGAGGAGGAACCAGAGCCGGGAGACCTGAGGATGGACTGTCCAATCTCGGGGGCAGAAGTTGCTGAGGTAGTCAAACAACTACACAGCAGCGGAGCCCCGGGGGCGGATGAGGTTCGTCCTGGGTATCTCAAGGCTATGGATGTTGTAGGGCTGTCATGGTTGACACGTCTCTGTAACATTGCGTGTTCATCGGGGGCAGTTCCGGTGGAGTGGCAGACTGGGGTGGTGGTCCCCATCTTTAAGAAGGGTGACCTGAGGGTGTGTTCCAACTATAGGGGGATCACACTCCTCAGCCTCCCTGGAAAGGTCTACTCCAAGGTACTGGAGAGGATGGTCCGATCGATGGTTGAATCTCAGATTGAGGAGGAGCAATGTGGTTTTCGTCCTGGCCGTGGAACTGTGGACCAGCTCTATACCCTTGCAAGGGTGATGGAGGGGGCATGGGAGTTTGCCCAACCAATCCACATGTGTTTTGTGGATTTGGAGAAGGCTTATGACCGTGTCCCCAGGGGCACCCTGTGGGGGACGCTTCAGGAGTATGGGGTGGGTGGCTTTCTGTTAAGGGCCATTCAGTCCCTTTACCAGAGGAGCGTGAGTTTGGTCCGCATAGCCGGTAGTAAGTCGGACCTGTTCCCAGTGAGGGTTGGACTCCGCCAGGGCTGCCCTTTGTCACCGGTTCTGTTCATCACTTTTATGGACAGAATTTCTAGACGCAGCCGTGGTGTGGAGTGTGTCGAGTTTGGTGGCAGGAGAATCTCGTCTCTGCTTTTTGCGGATGATGTGGTCCTCCTAGCTTCATCCAGCTCTGACCTGCGGCTCTTGCTGGATAGGTAGAACGAGATCACGGATACAAGCGGCCGAAATGAGTTTCCTCCGTAGGGTGGCTGGGCTCAGCCTTAGAGATCGGGTGAGGAGCTCGGACATCCGGGAGGGACTCGGAGTAGAACCGCTGCTCCTCCGGATCAAAAAGAGCCAGTTGAGGTGGTTTTTGCATCTGGTCAGGATGCCTCCTGGACGCCTCCCTGGGGAGGTGTTTCGGGCATGTCCTGCCGGCAGGAGGCTCCTGGGTCGACCCAGGACATGTTGGAGAGGTTACATCTCCAGTCTGGTCCGGGAACGCCTTGGGGTCCTGCCGGAGGAGCTGGTGGAGAAGGCCGGGGAGAGGACGGTCTGGAGCTCCCTAGTTGGGATGCTGTCCCCGCGACCCGGACCCGGATAAGCAGAGGAAGACGATGACGAGTCGAACCTGTTTCTAGAGTAGACTGATGCTCTCAGAGTTTTAGATGTTGTCACTGTGCATCTTAATCATGTTCGTGTAAATAGTCCAGGAGAAACTCTCCTAAAAGTGATTTTTTAGGTAACTGGACTTCTCTTTCTGGTTTTTGAAGACATTTCTCACACAGAAGTCTTTTTTTAGGATCTGGATGATTATTAGGCTAGAACTTACTCAACCTAAAACCTGTGCTGGATTCAGCCAAGGGGCGTTCTAACGTCTAGTTTATCCATGCTGGTGGCGACTTGTTTATGTGACATGTGAAGCAGCGAGGATGAGACTGTAGTTTTATAGAAAAGAAAACCGGAGGCTGTTTCCTTTTTCTTTTACATCCTTCACTCCTTTTCAAATCAAAAATGGTGTCTGTTCAAGGAGAGTAACTTATTTTTCTTCAGTAAAGGAGAACCGATGAAGTTTCATGGGTGAGGGGTGGAACATTAACAAGGCCCGTCGTTAAGAAACAAAAGTTTATGTTTGCATTTTAAGCTTGATCTGAAAAGTGATTCATTTAAAATTCCACCTGATTTAAAAAATTAATAATAATGATCTGGAGTTTGCCAAGGTTCTTGTGCACTCATGTTTTTGTAAAAGAACAACAAACATTTAAACATTGTGCTTAAAGAGAACCTGATAACAAATTATAGCGTGTGTGTGTGTGTGTGTGTGTGTGTGTGTGTGTGTGTGTGTGTGTGTGTGTGTGCATGCTTGTGTGTGTGTGTGTCTGCAGCTGCGTTATGATGATGAGGTGAAGCGTGTGGTGGCGGAGCCCGTGGAACTAGCGCAGGAGTTCAGGAAGTTCGATCTGAACACACCCTGGGAGGTGTTCCCTGCCTTCCGAGAGCCCCAACAGGCTGAGCCCAAGCTGGAGGCTGGTGACGTCTCCTCGGAGAAGAAGTGATGTCCTTCTGTTCACACACAGTTCTTCATCATCACACCTCCTGTTATTCTGGGACTTCACCTGAAATATTTATGTAAATAAAAAGTACTAATAAAACATTCTTTAGATGGTTTGATGTGTTTTTATGGTGCAACTCTTTTTTCATTTATTAATTTTATTTTTCTGTGTGTGTCCTGTCTGGCTGTGAAGCAAACAAAATTGATATCTGAATGGAGGTCAGGTGGTGCATCAAAGCTTCTGCTTTTAATGTCACGCCTGATACTCAAAACTTTATTGTTATTGTTTTTGAATGCTTTTTAATTCCGACCAGACACGGAGACAGGTGAAAGAGAAAGGAAGAGACAAAAGGTGTGTGTGTGTGTGTGTGTGTGGGGGGGGGGGGGGGGGGGTCCACAAAAATGAACAATAATGAACAAGAGTCTGCTTCTAGACCTGCGGAAAGAGAGAAGAAAAAAAATGGGACACAATACCGATCAAGCTATCGATGCGTCAGCCTGATGAAGAAATATATAATCAACATTGTTTAACTGAACAATCACACGATAATAAATCACAGTGCATTAGGTGCCCACCATAGACTTATGATTCCTCTCATCTTTATGGTGTAACTTAAAGATGAGATGAGACGAATCTTAGATTCCTCATGTCACAAGTGTGTGTGTGTGTTCATTTGTCTTAAACTAAATACGAAGATGTTTCATGAGAACTGGAGCTGTGTTTAGACGTGGCTCATGTTTGTGAAACTAAAATAAGCCTGTTTACTTATTTAATTCCTTCAGCTGCACAGATGTGGATGTGATGTTTAAAATGGAACAAATTTAATTTCCACATGTTGGCAAGAGTTTCAATATTTTTGGTCTCATTCATTCATGCTTTCTTTGGGATGATGCTGTGGGACGTTTCCTGGACTTGGATCTGACATTTCTGTACTTTTTATCATGGCTTCTAGTTCTGACTTTCTGACCTACATCCAGGATGTTTGTGAAGAGCCGTGTTCATAACGAGGAGCCAGAATTATCCACTAGATGGCACTGCAGCACAGATACAAAATCTGGATATTTCCTCCAGCTGGTTGTTGCTGATCAGAGCATAAATATTCCATGGAAACAGGACAGTCCACACTGTAATAGATGTTATTTTATTTTGTTAAATATTAATATGTTTTCATTCACTTTACATGAAAAAATAAATTAAAACATGTAAAACAAAAATCATCTTTTGCCAGACGACAGAAAACAACGCCGGTCAAAAAGATTTTCGGTATTTTCTACCAGCAGGTTTGAATTTGTTTGAAGAAAAGTTGAAATTTTTATTTTATTTTAAAACAACCACTCAAACCTGAACCACATTTTTAGCCTTATTTGAATATGAAATTCTTTGAAATACATAATCTTTGATCAAGTTCATTAAAAACAGAAACAATAACTAAAAACACATTTTAAGATTTTTACAGATAAGTCAATTAAAACACAGTCAACACGTACCTCGCCTTTGATGTTGCTCAGGAATCATAAAGTCGTTTTTTAGAAGACTATTTTTATTGCATGCATAACACAGGTCTCTGAGAGTCTTAACAAATACACTCATGTTGTTGCACTCACCATGCATTCTGTGCAGTTCTCTTTTTTACATTTTTGTAGAACAAACTCTAATTTCTGAAGCCATCATAGGTCCAACACACCAAGGCAAGAACTTCCAGGATTTAGACTGTGACCAAACACCTGCTATCTGCTGCAAGGCTCACTGACAAGCTAAGAGTGGCGAGAAATGGACAAGAATTTAGATTCTTTGTAGACGTCACTGCAGCAGGGGAGGGTCTGATTTTTATTTTCCTCACAGTGAAGCAATGGCTGAATGAACTCCTCCCCTCAGGAAAGTTTTTAGCTCATTTTAGGTTTTAGCATTTGGAGATTTTCAAGTATTTTAAAGAAACTAACAAAAGTCAAATTCAAATGCTTGCTTTGATAAAAACGATGATTTCTATGGTTTCCTAAAAGCAAATCTGCCTCTCATACCATGGGTTCTAGTTGGAAATGAGGTTTTGTTTTAATTTTTCAAACATTTTAAAACCTTCTTTTGATTTTTAGTCTGTTTCTTTGATTTTCTTCTCATTTTTAACTTCCATTTCCTCATTTTAACATTCTGCCTGATGAGAAACATCATTTTTTCATGTGAGAATCTTTCTACAAAACAAAGTTACGCCACAAACTGAGCCGCACCAAATCAATTTCTAAATCAGGATTTTATTTTTCACTACCTATTTAGTTCAGACTTTATTTCATAATATAACATTTTGTGGATGTTTGTTTACCTGACTTGAAGCCAATCGTCTGTGATAAAACATCAAAATGTTGAATCAAACTCAAGTTCCTCCGGCCCTCCAACAGAGAATAAAAAAGAGGCGCATGACATTTTGAACTGTATCATCTTTCCCCAGACGCCATAAAATTTAACAGACACGCTTGTTACAGCAGCGCAGGTGAAGCGATTCAATTTTCCACACATTGGTCACCATCTGAAGACATGAAATAAATGCAGTTAGAATTAGCAACCACATTATGGTCCAGATCCCTGCAGGCTCACTGTTGGCATGGTCACCGCTGTTAGGACACGCAATCTGCACAAAAACCTGTGTGGGCTCTGTCCCCTCGTTCGCCTCTCTTGCTGCCAAACTCCCAAAAGACAAAGGAAGAGACTCTTTTTGAAACAAGAACACAGTTCACATTGTTTACATGCCTCTACAGACCCAACAAAGGGAATCACTTCTTACAGGACAAAGAAAACACCAGCACTGAGGAATATTTCACTAGAGAATGAAAAATTTGTGATTATCAACCAGCAGCCTGATGCTGTGAATCAGGTCAACATGCTTCAAATTACAGACCCCACTGCACATGAATAAACTACCGTTTATGTCCACGGTGGTGCAACATTTACTCATGTTTATAATTATTTCATTATACACTTAACATTTACACTGGTACTCTTATTACATTTATCTGACACAAAATCACTTATATGTTTTTGCTGCTGTTTTCAGGTCCAACTTGACCGTTCTCAGTCTCCTTTGGAGCCATTAATCCAGATTTTTACTTGTGCTTTCTATGCAAATCACATTTTCTAAAGTAGCATCTAGTGTTATTGACAAATAACCAGAGGTAACCAGAGCTACATGCTGAAAAAATGCAAATGTTATAGACCCATATGTGTATCACTTTAACTTTTTAATTACAACAAACATTAACACTCATCTCGACTTTTCATCAGATGTTAAGTGTTACATAATGTCTGCGAAGCGCAAATCGTAGCCATAGCCACAGTTGAAGTTGTTTGTTTCCACTGGGCACAAAGTGTTATGTGGTGCTGCTCTGCTAAATACGGGCCAGGTCTACGTTTTTTACGTGCTACATGTAAATCTCAGCAGGTCAGATTGGGCCAGACAGGAAATCAAACAAAGGAGCAGAGTTAAGCAATTGCCAAATTTCAAAATAAAAGACATGTGCAAATGATATAATGATTATGCTTGTGTGATCTTGCAGGACCAGCTGAAGGCATTCACAATGTGCGTCTGAAGTGCTCCCAGTAACTTAGGGAGCACTTGAGGTCACGGTGAAAACGCGTCTACGTGTGTCTAACACATCTGGTGGAAAGCCTGGATTAGAAACGCAGTTTCATCTTCTTTAAACTGAAATTGTTCAGCGTGATCCCAGTTTGGATAATCAAGGGTAACCAAGCTAACTGCTAATCCCAGCAGAGCAGATTTCTGCTAAAGAAAACAAAGCAAACTCCAAACCTCTAGGGCAGTTTGAACAAAAGCAATTTCTCATATCAACATTTTTGGCTTGAGGCTGTTGTTCTAGTTGGTCTAATTTCTATTTAAAATCCCTTCTTGTTCTAAACTGATCAGTGGCTGCTGATGCTACATGTTGCAAAAATCCACTGCAGTCTGAGGCTGTCATCTGGGAAGTGGTCAAGAGTACCGTATTTTCCGGACTAAAAGTCACACTTTTTTTCATAGTCTGGTCCTGCGACTTATATACCAAAGTGACTTATGTACCAAATTATGTATACCGCACTGCTGTGGGCCGCCTCCGGTCCAGGTTTCAGCTCCTCTGCCCCGCTGGGAGAGTTTCAAACATCGCCATCACCTGCTGCAGCCTGTGGCGGGGTGCTGCAGGCGCTCTCCCCGCCTGCTGGGAGGGTTTGAAACACCGCCATCCTCTGCTGGAGACCGTGGCGCGCTGCTGCTGCCTGATTGATTATTCTGTTACAGTTACCGGTACTTGTCTTGCAATGTGAAACACTTGGTCTCAGATTTTGTAAGAAAAATGATCAAATTTCCCCCCAAAATGCGACTTATAGTCCAGTGCGACTAATAAATGTTTTTTTCGTCTTCATTATACATTTTATGGCTGGTGCGACTTATACTCCGGAAAATCCGGTAGCTATTGAGAGGCCTGTTCATTCAACTAGATGTGACCAAGCCTGTAGTAGTTTAGCAAACGTTGAATTGATCGTTAGTCTGGCAAAGTGAATGATGGGTTAACACTTTGCTGCTCCTGCAGACACGGTAGAGCACCTCCTGCTCAGGGCTGCTTTTGGGTTTCAGTGTTTAAATGATGACATTTATTCTTCACTTATTCCTGCTTTGCGTTAGCTGTTAGCTTGGCTACTACACTCTGACTGCAGGTAAGATACTGACTGCTCAGATTGACTCCGCATAATCCCACTTCAAATAATCTGATCTATCCCTTTGAGGTTGGGATTAGTTGTAAGGAGATATAAGTATTTATTAGTCAAGTAAAGTATAAACAAATGCTCTATGTTAATAAACATTGTTATTACAGCGACTACGTACATGTTTTAATTAAACTATGTTTAATGTAGACGTGTCGTAAGACAAAATGTGGTTTAGTATCTTGCTAATTTGTTACCACAGCAAATCTATAAGTACATTCAGCCTTTAGAGTTTCATGCTTTTTGGTCTGAGGTTTTGTAGGCTGGAGAATTTTCAGCTCTGCTTAAAGACGTGTCATTAGTGAGACCTCAGTTGGTATTTAAAATCTGTTTGTTTTCTTTTCCTTCTGCCGGTGCAGCACCGGCGGATGTTTGTGAGTGGGCTCAAAGAGCAGCCGTCTGATCAGGAAACGCTCTGATCATGGTGCACCAACAGCGAACACTGAGTGGGCTTTGTGAGCTGTAAAGAAGACCTCTAAGTATAAAACCTTTGGCTCTGGCTGAAGGATGGACCGACACAAAGGTTAGCTCATAATGATGGAGTTTTCATTTTGGAGTGAAATATTCGCATTTACGTGAGTCGTGTCCTGGGAAGCAGATGAGATTTTATTCTAGGTGCCTTGCTCAGTCTGAAGTCCGTGTGACTCTGAGAGTAAATTCATATGAAGAGAGAAGCAGCCATAGAGCAGCATTCATGCCTATTTTAACTCAGATATCCAATATGCTCTGTGGACTCTCAGGCTTTATATGAACCCCTCTCACAATGTTCAGTCCCTCACCGAGGTGCTGCAGTTAGGGCCTCTTGTCAGCTTGTGATTGGCTGGTTGTGGCACTGGTGGGGGAGGAGGGGGTGATGTCTGGGTAAACCAAGAAGCCAGTGAAGGTGATGTACTTGGCGTGGTTGCTGTAGGCTCCGAATCCATCCCTCTGATGGGAGTAGAGCCAGACTGTGTCCCCTGATTTCAGTGCCATCATCAGGCTCTGACTCTGCAGGGCTTTCTCACCCTGGCTGTCGTCGTATATCATCGCCTGCACCTCCAGATGGTTCTTCATCAGCTTGACGGACAGCGTCTTCTGGGGCAGCTTGCCCACGTTGAAGGAGAAGTAGTACGCCCCAGGAATGCGGCACGTGAACAATCCCTCTGTCACATTAAAGTCCTCTCCAATGTTGACGAAAGCCGTGTTGAAGCTGACTGGTCGGTGCTGGGGCATGCCCACCTGATCTACTCCCAGAATACTTTGGGTGCGCCCCACTGAGAAGGCAGATCTTCTATCATCCTCTTCATCCTCCTCCTCCTCTTTCTCTTCTTCTTTCTTGTGAGAAAGCTCCTTCTCCACTGTTATGTCTCGCGCGTTGCTCTTGATATGCTCCGTGGCCTGCAGATGGAGGTTCTCCTGCTGCTGGGAGTCAGAAGTGGGATGGTGCTGGTGGTGGTGCATCTGGTAGCCATAGGTGTCGGGGTAGATGAGGTAACCGTTGAAGGTGGTATAGTGCCCAGTGTTGCTGTAGAGCGCATAGCGAGGGTCGCCATGGAGACGAAGCCAGATGGTGTCACCAAACTCCAGCTGCAGCATGACGCTCTGGCTCTGCACCTGAGGATTCAAGCAGATAATATTACCCCAGCTGGGGAGGCAGATCCAGGCCTGTTTTACATCAAGGCACCGAGAACAAACACATAATCCAATCTGAACTCGCATAGCGTTTGGTATCGAGGAATAATCCTGTCTGTTTGACTGCCGGTCTCCACCCAGATACAGACACCTGCTGTTAGACCTTCGCTAAGCTCCGACACAATAAAAGACCTTCCTAAACATTCCCCCCAAGAAGAGAAACATATCCTGATATGTTCTTGAATTAAAGACAGAAAGTCATGCTCATGAATTCTATTTCATTTATTACACCAACAACAAAACTGAACACTGACATTTATAGCATTTTATTTCCTCATGAACACACATAATAATGTGCATGCCTTTAGCCACGTAGACTATAGATGGGGTTGAATTTTCCTTTGTCCTGTAATATTGCACAAATCATGGTTTGCATGTAAATAAAGAACAAATAAAAAAATGACACTTTAAGAGTATTGCAGTTTGTTTTATGTATGCATTAAATAAGAGCCTTAGAACTCCTATGGTGGAAGGGTTTGCAACAATTGTCCTGAGAAGTACACTGTAAAAAATGTCTGTGTAAAATAGAGATAATTTGCCGATGAACAAAATACCAGAATCTTTTCTGTCAAATGTCCACTATGCGCCAGTGATCAGGTGCTAATAAAGATTTAGAATTGTTGTACAGCTAAAACCTGACAACATCTATTCTGGCTGATTCTAACATTTATTTTAATTCTTTCCAAACAAAGCAAAGTAGAAGATTTGTTTTTACCTTTTTTCCTGACAAGTTTCGGCTAACACTGTAGTCTGTCGGGAAGGCTACAGCGTTAGCCGCAACTTCGACTATGCTGTGTTTAGAAAATAATTAAAACAATGAAAAGATGATTCTATTAGTGTACTCTACATTAGCTAAAAATAGATCATGATGTAATGTTGCAATGAGTTGTAGGATGTAGTACGAGACAAACAAGCATGCTTTTTGCATGGGTTTCTATGGGTCTAAGTTGCTCTGTTTGTCTCAAAGTTGTATTTTTTTCTCCTAAAGGAATTTAAATGGCAGTATTTGCAAGGTTGCTGGTTGGGGAGGTGCTAATCATACTCTTAAAACTCAGATCGGATGACGGAGTGGACCTTTTTTTTTATCCATTTACCAAAGCCGGGTAGGTCTGTGACAACATAAAACAGCTGGAAAGAGAATGGGACAAGCCAAAGACTGACGAAGCAAGGCAGTGGCAGTTTTTATTTGGAATTTCACAGTGTTGAGCAGATCAAGGGTAGCACATATATTTGTTCCATACATTTAGCTGGTGAGAAAGGTCCTACGTCTGAGAATAACAAGCTGATACTAGCATGAACTCAATGTGGAGTTATTCAGGAGGCAGCGGTGAAAACAGAGAAGTCCAGCTAAACATCACGGCCAAACAGCATCCGAAGGTGGACGAAAAAGGCTTTTGACCAGAGGTGGGTGGCATTTACAAAGTAGGGACATAAATAAGAGTACAAATAAGAACTGAGAAAACAATGTTACATGAACACTGTGGGTAATGAGTATTGTAACATAACATAACGTAACATAACATAACGTAACGTAACGTAGCATAACATAACGTAACGTAACGTAGCGTAACGTAGCGTAACGTAACGTAACGTAGTGTAGCACAGCGTAGCGTAACGTAGCGTAATGTAACGTAACGTAGCGTAGCGTAACATAGCGTAACATAGCGTAACATAACGTAACATAACATAACATATAACACAAATAACGTAACGTAACATAACATAACATATAACACAAATAACGTAATGTAACATAACATAACATATAACACAAATAACGTTATGTAACATAACATAACAACATAACGTGACGTAACGTAACGTAACATAACATAACGTAACGTAACATAACATAACGTAACGTAACGTAACAAATGGAAAACAATTTGGTTTATTTGTCCACTGTATGTCAGAGATCATTTCAGGGAAGTGTCCAGGCTTTTCCACCTGCTTGGAGCATTGTGTTCCTCCTGTACTGGTCTCCAAACCAGTAAACACACTGCTCTACAACCTTACTGCCAAGAAGGGCTTATTATGGCTTCCCTTCTTAGCAGCAAGGTCTTAGAGCAGTGTGTTTACTGGTTTGGAGACCAGTACCGGGGGAACAGCCTGGACACTTCCATGAGATGACCTCTGACCTTACGGTGAACAGATAACCAAATTGTTGTCCTTTGGTGGGCTACAATAATTTTAATGGAATTCTTGGAAAAACAAATCAAACCAAACTAAAAAGAGTTGATGAACATTAAAACTTATGATTCTGAAATCAAATGAGGAAATCGTGCTGCTACAGTGAATGAGTGATCAGTAATGGTGAGTTCATGGACAATTTCTTATTCATGATCAATACACAGTTAAATAATACTGAACTCTGTGTTATAGATCAAACAATAATGAATTAGGTTGATCAGGGTGAATATTGACCTTTTCTGACATCTGGAAGCAGATTGGCAAACGACAGGGCTAAAACCTTCCCAGGGCAGGAAGCATTCTCAAGAGCATCGAGTCTTTTATCTAAAGATAGAATCTTTTCATTCAAATTTAGAATCTTTTCATCCAAATTTAGGAATTTCTGGTTTAAATTGGAGAGCTGCTGTTGAATGTCCTCTTTAATTACAGTTAGGAAACCCATCAAAAGTTTATCCCGGTCTGCAGCCATTTTGATGACTCCACAGAACCCTTAGTTTTGTGATAAATTAAGTGGAAACTGGATATAATCGCTTTTGAAATCAATACCAAACCTTACAAATTTTTATGAGACATTTACACATTTTTAAATCCCATTTTATCTTTATCCCATTGTCTTCAACAAATCTGAGCTACTCTTCTTCTTCCTTGTAAGGCCTGAGTTTGAGTCAAGTTTTGTGATATCTTCAAGTTGTCAAAATGAATGTAACTTTTAAAATTGTTGGATGATTTTAAAACATGAGAACGCCACAGGGGGTGAAAAAAATCACAAATATACCAGTTGTATTGAGCCACATGGCAAAAACTGCATATTAACCAATTTCACACACATTCCCGATCAGACTGGAAATCTTGCAAAATCTCTTAAAGAGGCTATAAAGAGTTTGAAATTGTTATGCTCGTGATTGCCCCCTCAGGCCAAACGCGTAACTGCAGCTTCAATAGTAAGCTTATGCATGAGGCGCGCATGCTGTACGTGCATACTCCTGAAGGAAAACAACAGCCGTATCCATCTGTACCAGTGCAGTTTACAGGTTTAACCCCCAGAAACCCAAATTTAGAAAACAACTGCAAAATCTTTTTTTAACCTTTCACATGTTGTTCTAGGAGGCCAGATAAATGGGCCTATTTACACATTTTAACAGCCAATAGTGTTGCAGAACTGAACAATAGGACCTATTAGCAATGTAAATGTGGTTTTAAAAAGAAAAAAAAATGGGGAAGGTTTATTTTTGTAGACTTTTGGGCAGTGGCGGCTGGCCAGTAGAGGGCGATAGGGCGCCGCCCTCCCAGTTTCCCCTGTGTTTTTAATTTTAATTTTTTAAAATAAATAAATAAAATTAACAATAATCACATATTCTAAGTTAATTGTGTGTTTTGTAACAAAAATAAATCATATATATATATATATATATATATATATATATATATATATATATATATATATATATATATATATATATATATGTATATGTATTGGTCTCTGCCGGTCTCTGCCAAGCGGTGGAGGCTGTGTGCTGTTTTTCAATCGCCCAAACAGGACGAGACCAGTTGTCCAATTGCTGACAAGAAAATCAAAGGGTAGGAATGGGAATGTATCCAATCAACGTCGACGTTGTTTCAGAACGTTTCAGAAGCATGATGGGCGATAGAGCTACCGCCAAGGCTTTCGTTGGTGTTCAGTAGAACTCGGAGAGTCTCGACTCCAGCACGTTTTTGGTCGTGACTCGTGACGGTCATGACGCAGACGTAGACATGGACGCCAGTGCGCCTACAACATGGATACCGGATCTCAGCAGCCACTAAATTCAGTTCGGTCTCTTCTCCAGTATTCGTTCGAGAGGAGAACTATGGTGGAAAAACTTAATGTCAAAGAGCTTGGACCAGATCAGCCCAACGTAAAGATAAGCCAGCAGGACAAGGAGAGAGGTAAACTGTACACACAACGCTTCTCCCAAAATTGGTACACCAGGAAGCAGTGGCTAGCTGGATGCAATCACGCTAATGCGTTATTTTGCTTTCTGTGTTTGTTATTCAAAACGGCTGGGATCCACAGAAGGTGGATGTGGAACTTGTGTCTCATTGGGGACTCCATTCATTCTCTGACTGAGGAATGCAGCGCATCAGTGCAGCAGCCAACAAAGAAACGGAGGACGTTTGGACAGGGAGAACAACAGCTGGGTGCAGAGGTAAGCTGTACATTACATTTCTGTGAACAAGACAATCAGAATCAGAAATCCTTGGTTGTCCCACAAACCGGCACATTTATTTAATAACATGTTTAATGTGCAATAACTGTAAAAACTAATTTCAACACACATACCTATTATACATATTTAATCACGTAAATGTGTATTTCAAGTAAATTTGTACATACATCAATCTGATTCCATTTTACTTGTTACACTTCTGCTGCAGCAAACAAATTTCCCAGCTTTTGGGACAATAAAACATTTCTAATTCTCAATGAGATGTTTTTACATTTGAAGAAAAACATCTCATTGAGAACCAGAAATGTTTTATTGTCCCAAAAAGTGGGAAATATGACATTTGTAAGAGGATACTGATGACATTATTTCCTATGAAAGTGTTTCCACTTTCCATAAGTCCTAACAGTGTAAATTTCTGGCATTTTGTCTAAGTAGTGTTTACTACCATTACTGTAACAGTGACCTGCTCATAATTTTTCGTGTTCACTCAAATGTTGAAATTAAACAAAATGTTTTTGTTACTTGCCTCTTGCATTGCCTATTTACCATTTATGGTCATGTTATTTTATGTGCAATTTAATGCAGTATTTTTCAACCTTGGTCCACAAGGCAGTTTGCCAATAGTCAGACACACCTGGATTAATCAGTTTGTCCAATGATGTAAGACAGGAAATAAAAGAGCTGTGCTTAATTCAGGAAATAGTGAAGTTGTGCACAAAGCTCAGAAAGCACAAGTTTGTTTAAAAATAAAAAAATAGCACAGCCCCACCAAAAATATTTTTCACCAGCCGCCACTGCTTTTGGGTCCACGTGACTCTCAGTTAGTAGTTAGTTAGGTAAAAAAAAGGTAAACAAACACGGATCGTAAACATGAATGTGAACGGGATCGGCTTGGATTTTACTTCATTGGAGTTTACTTCACACTTTAAAACCGAAGAAATCGTTTTATATAGTCAGAAATTAAATAGACTAAACATCTCCGACCCTTACGTGCCCCTGGGATACTGTTTAAAAATGCCAGAAGCTGTCGGAGCAGACTTCTTACCGGACCTGGCCGGGGAACCCCTTGGGATTTACCCGGAGAAGCTGGCTCAGGTGGCTGGGGAGAGGGAAGTCTGGGCCTCTCGACGCTACTGCCCCCGTAACCCAACTCCGGATATGCGGATGAAAATGGATGGATGGATGGACAAATAACAGATTTACACGTAAGTAGTTTAAATAGAGTGCTGTGCTGTTTGAATGTATAAACTGAACGCCAAGAGAAATCACTAGTTTGATTTTTTTTCCGTGAATAAAATAAATATGTCAGGCAGGAGCGTCTCAGGATCTGTCTGAGATCTGTCTCGGTGAGACAGATAATAGCAATCCAAAGTGCTTTTTATGTGTGATCTGACAATTGATCAACCGTTGCTTAAAAATTAAATACAGCTTAGCCGGTTAATTGCTGTGATCATAAAACATGGAAACGGCAGCACGCAGAACTCTCGAGGCAACGTTTTACGTGATGTTTACTTGTTGCTATGAGTAATAAGACAGAAAAAGCCACGCCAAAATAAGTTTAGGAAGCCCACTAAGAATCGTAATAAAAGCATTTAAAATAAATACCACACACAATTGAGGAAACGTTGGTTTAAGTACCTGATATGAAGCGGTCGCTGTATAAGCGAAAACCTTTACTCTCGGGGTCCCACAGTTTCATTTTAGCCCGGTCACTAGCGCGTTTTATTACAATGGTCCAATGTTTGCAGCGCTCCGGATCTTGGGGAATCCTGTAGATGGCTCATTCCTTATGTCATCCGCATCTGTTCTGCATCCTGGGGCACAACAGGAATCTACCATATTTCCTGTCTGATTGAGTTTTCTGACAATAACAAATAGTCCAGCTGCCGGCTTCTGCATGCCAATATGGCGCCGTTTCGATTTGAACTGTTGCATGCCGGGAGAAGTGACGTCAACTCCCAGAGCTCTATAGAAGGCGGTGCGCAGCTAAAGAAGTTTGGGAACCACTGCTTTACGCACAACACACGGCAGGAATATCTGATAAGATTATCTTTAGAGCCCTAGTAACTGGCCATGTACTTCAAATTGTCAAAAGGGGAGGGCCAGGTCCAAATCAGCATGATTATCTCTCTGGGTGAACTGAGTCTATCAGGTTTGTGGCATTGAGAAGAAGCTGACACGTTGTGATTTCTGTGTTTGGCCTGTTTGACTGCAACAGTCTTTATCGCCCAAATCCTTTTCCATGAATTCTCTTGGAAACTTTTCTTTGACAGGAAATCAGCCTGATGTTGTTTGGGCTCATCACAGCCCAGGTATTCTGTGTCCTTTGTGCTTGAAAAGTAGAAATGTATCACCTGTGGTTCCTTTGAGGAGTATGTGTAAACAAAATCTCAGCATCCTTTCCAGGATTGTTACAAACAGATGCACAAAGACTGAATTGCTGGACAACCTCACCTGCTGTGAACACAAAAATCTTTTAAAAATATTTTTCACTTAGTATGAACAAGATGTTTGTTTCAGAACCCTGCATCAGTTTGTAGATGGAGAGGGATCCTCAAACATTACCACAAAATCAAAATTCAAAGCCGTTAAACGCACCTTCCTCTCCTCTCCGGCGTTTTCCTCATATACGATGGCCTGCACCTCATTCCTGTTCTTCATCAGCATCACAGACAGGTCTTTGTGGGGAAACTTGCCCACTGTGAAGGAGAAGTAGTAGGCCCCAGGGATCCGACAGCGAAACAAACCTGCCTTAGCATCAAAGTCCCCACCGATATTGACGTACACAGAGTCAAAGGTCACTGTCATCTTTGGTCCACCTTCCATGCTGTTAGTGCGAGCAACTGAGAAAGCTGAGCGTAGCTCTGCATTGTCCAGCAGACGGGCGAAACCCCATACGCAGCCTGCGTAACCCAGGCACAGCAAGCCAATCAGAACACTTGATTGAGGCAGCATTGTATCTGCAGAAAGGCAAAAAAGAGAAGAGGGACAAACGTTTTTTTTCTTCTACATCATGTGACGGTCTTCACCTGAAAACCCATCCATTCATCTGTAAAACTGTTATTGTGAAAGAAACACAAATAACCAGGTAAACCCTTACAGGAAGCCTAGTAGAAACAAAAAATATCCTGAAAAAAATTTGCATTCTGTGTTTTCCACTCCGAACTTTGTCACTAATGTACCCGAAGGTTATAATTAACGAATCTCATAGTTCAGTTGCCAGATGCCTTTAGGCCTGATAAATAATTTTGTTGTTCATTGATTCAAACATTTGGAATGAAATCCAGTTATTTCTACAGTATAAAATCCCATCATGTCATTTCATGCCTCACTGCTCATCTCTGGTTGTTACAGATCAGCAAGCTTGTGTTTGAATCACAGCTCATTTTCTCCTGATGAGGTTTTCTGTTGATTGTTTCTGAGTTAGAGACTAAGAATGCTTTGCTATTTTTAATTTTAGACACAAACACGAGCTAAGACTGTAAATACAGGAATGTTCAAAATAACCAGGAAACAATGAACAAGTTGATAACAACTGGTAATCAGGAGACACATGGATGCTCCATGGATGCATGATAAAATAAATATTTGAATAAGAAATTACTTCTACTACCACTAAACTTTATTTATACAGCGCCTTCACATGGCCCAAGGACCAAACAAAGCACTGCACAGCAGAAGTGAACATAAAAAATAAAAACATATAAAACCATTTAAAAACCAACAAAAACATGTAGATAAAATCTAGGTGGGGCAGCAAAAAAGTGCAAAGCCATCCGTTAACGAGAATCTTCTTGAGTAAAAGCTAAAGAATAAAAGTGTGTTTTCAGCTGGCGCTTAAAGTTGCCGAGCGTGGTGGCCTGTTTAACACATGTAGGTAGCTCATTCCAGAGCCTCGGCCCCAGCACCGAGAAAGCATGACCCCCTCGAGATTTCAGTCTGTGTTTGGGAATGACCAACAGTCCATGCTGTGCTGACCGAAGGTTCCTTGCGGGAACATAAGGATAGATCGGATCCGATAGATAACGTGGAGCCAACTCATTTAAACAATTAAAAACAAACACCAGAACTTTAAACAAAATTCTAAAAGAGACTGGGAGCCAGTGTAGGGATGCCAAGACGAGCGTGATGTGTTCAGATCTCCTGGTACCAGTCAGTAACCTGGCTGCCGCATTTTGGACCTTCTGCAGTTTTGCTATGGAGGCTTGCTTGATGCCTGCATACAGCGAGTTACAGTAGCCCAGTCTGGTGGGAATGAAGGCGTGGATGACAGTTTCCACATGTTTACTTGAAAGAAACCGCTTAATCCTAGCTATTCTCCTGGGATGGAAATAGCAGGATCTGATTGTTCCATTGACCTGGCTGTCCAGTGTGAGCTCTACATCCAACTTTACCCCCAGACTGGTGACCACAGCCTTCTCAAAAGGTACTAATAAAGGAGAGAAATGCACCTATATCGGGTTTCAAATAAAAACAACCAGCAATTCCCATTTTGTGACTAAAACAAGTAAAATGAGAAGACAATTTTCCTAGGAAAAATCACACATCATAATCTGTTATGTATGTAGTGATACATTGTGTGATAAAACCACACACAGTCACAATATCCAATAGCTGTTCTGTCTCAGGCAGTAAGCTTTCATTGTCTTTATTAGTAGGGACACGCTTTTCATTGTCCCGTTATCTTGTTCTAATTAAACAACAGAAAGGAGACAGACAAGCAGTTATCAGTGTACTCCCCCCCCCCCCCCCCCCCAATGAAAAAGACTGAGATTATCATGTTTTAGGGACAGCTTGTTTGATCCAGCAATTTTCAGGGTGAATTGTCAGTCTTAACTAGCATATTGTGTTTATGAATCCCTGCATTTAGCAGCTTTTGTAAACCAAATGGTTCATTAATTAACTCAGTCAGACGTGCTGCAGCCTGGCCTCTCTGTCAAATGCAAACTCTAACAGGAAAGATGCAGCAGGTGAAATCCAGCAAACCAAAATTTCCAACTTTTTTAAAAGACTGGAGAAAAGTCACAAAAATAGCACATGAGAGGCCTGAGGGTGTCACTGGGTTAAAGCATCACAAAAGTGGACTGGGACATGCTCAATGAACAAAACTCATTGAACTCCATCTAGGGTCATGATGCAGTCTCAAACTGGAGATGGCAATCTTCTCTTTTTCAGTTGAGGATCAGGGGCCTCATTAATAACATTTTCCATAGAATCCTTACTAAAACACTACTCGTACTAAAACACTGCAAATACACAGCCGCACAAAACTCCTGCTTTATAAGTAAACCCCGCTCTTCCTAGAAATGCGCTCTGGTGTTCTTGGAGCATTTCTCGTCTCCTACACACCCACTTTCTGCCATAAATGATCAATGCAAAGGACCTTGCAAATACTCAGCATATAAATAATCAGTGGCATTCCATGGGTAACCATGGCAACCAAGACAAAATTGAGGTGCTTGTGCACAGAAAAATATTTAGTTGCTTTCCAGTGGTGTATTGTTGTTGCACCATGAGCTGTGAAGCCACAAATTGATTGGGGCAGGCGTCAAAAAAGAGTGGTCAGAGGGAGGCAAAAAAGAAAATGGCAACTATTATTGATACCATCCATAACAGCTGTGTTATGGTGCTCAGGGATTGCTAAAATGAAATATCTAAATTGCTAAAATGAGATATTGCTAAACTGAGATATCGACCTTGAGGCATGGCAGATGTGTTTCAGCTCCTACTTTTTGTGCTCTAATTCCTCTTAAAAACAGTTTTTTCCTGTCACCGATCTCTGGATTCTGTGATTTTCTTGGAACTTTGTTGGACCTTTGTTTATTTTTTAGATTCTTTGATTCTTGGACCTTTATTTGGAAAACAAATCTTTCGGATCCGACAGAGGCAGCTCAGCTAAAGTGTTAGCAACCTTGAAGCTATCTTGAATGTCTGTCCTCCCGTTCCTTCTGCCCCACAATGATGCCTTTATGCTTTCTAAAGCAAATAAAATAATTGAAAACCTTAAAGAGTTAGATCTCGTATCCCTGGACTGTCTGAGACCATTGTCAGTCAGTTTGAAGGTAAAACATCCATGCAAAACTCTCTGCTCCAATCCGTGCAAAAGTCTCTACTCCAAGGCACCATTGCTTGGGATCCCTCTGCACCACAAAATCCGACTTCCAGCTCTACTCCTGACCAATTTCCTGTCTGTTTAGCTTGACGTCTGAGATATATATATATATATATATATATATATATATATATATATATATATATATATATATATATAGCCATGCCCTGATGTGGGGGCTGGGGGGTGCGTCGACATGGTCGGGACAAAGAAGGCGGTACGCAGCTAAATAAGTTTGGGAACCGCTGCCTTAGATAAAGTAGCTCCTGTTAGACAGGTTACTTTTTCTAGCAAAAGAAAAAGTCCATGGATTAATCAGAACATTTACAGTTTCAGAAGGACATTCCGCAGAGCCGAAATACATTGGAAGTTGAACTAGATTAGAAAGTCACAGGCTGCACCTTAAAGAATTGATATCCCTGAATGAGACAGTGAAAACTTCCAGGGCCACTTACTTTGCTCAGCTGATTGCTGTAAACAAAAATAACTCTTAAGTCCAGTTTGACACCATAAACCAGACTGTTTCTCCGCACGCCCCTCTTATGCCAGTTTACTCAAGGTCTGTCTGTAACAACTTTCTAGCATTCTTTGAGAATAAAATCAGAAATATCAGGGCAAATTTTTTAACCCCCATCTACTTCCTCCCCCCAACCCCCTCCCTCTCAATCATGGTCTGTCTTTACTCCTCTAAATTTCCAGGACATTTGCCTCATTCAGAAACACATGAAACCAACCTCATGCCCTGCTGATTTCATTCCTACTTCCTGGTTAATCAGGATGTTTGACCAAATTGGCCCAAGCATTGTACATTTTATTAATGTACCTCTACAACTTGGCTCTTTACCATTTGTTTTCAAACATGCAGTTATCGAACCTATCCTTTAAAAACCAAGTTTGGACTCATCCCAGCCTAAAAATTACAGGCCCATTTCTAAATTACCCTTTTTTCTCTAAAATATTGGAAAAGGTTGTGGCAGATCAACTGATTACTTTTCTGGAACTACACAACAGTTTTGATGAATTCCAGTCTGGTTTTCGTAAAAAAGCATTCAACAGAAACAGCTTTGTTTAAAGTTTCCAGTGACATCATGATGGCTGCAGACAACGGGGAGTTCACAGTGTTGGTATTGTTAGCTTTGTGTCAGCTGTTGAGACTGTTTGAGATGTTGCAATAGTTACCTGTTAAGGATCTAAACAACAAAACAACAGTACTAGTGCAGCTACAGCAGCAACCTAACTGAAAGGGAAAACGTGCGCTTGGTTCTTGTGTTCCACATTAACGCAGATCAGAGCCAAAACCAGCACATCTGCGGCAGTTACTTGATGCTGCCTTTTCTCTCCATCTCAAAAGGCAGGGGGTGGCAGTGTTTTCTCTTTTCTATCTATGGCAATAGATATTCTGTTGATGATTGAAAGCAATTAGAAGTCTTTAAAATGTATTTCCTTTTCCTTTAAATTTTTGTAACATTATAAAAAATTCAATAAAGTTTCAGCTCATATTTTAACGTTTCAAGACAAATTAACACATAAAAATAAAATACTGGTCTTATTGAAAATATTGAAATTTTTCTTTAATTTTTCACATCTGACATGTCAGTGATCAGCTAACTTAAAATCTGAGGACATTTTTACCACCTCTGCAGCTGTTTCAATCAGCTTACTGATTCACAAATGAGCTTCAGTCTGCAAAGATCACTTTGTGTAGCAAAAAGAAATCACATCTGTACTTGGAGGAGCTTCGTCCCCATCCTCTTGAAATATCTGTCACCCTGCTCTGTTGCTCTCTCATTGGATCAAAGCTTTACAGTGATCTATTGTTGCATTGTACAGACATGCCCGACTGCCCCCC